AGCAGGGGTCGCTGTTGGAGTGGGCGTAGGCATGTCGAGGACGAGCAGCTCGAGCCCCTATTCGAAGCAGACGGAAGATACGGCTTCATCCACGACTTCAGCGGCCACGCCAACAACAACGTGAACTGCATCCTGGGCTCACCGAGCACGTCTTTCGAGTGCGTCTTCCATTATCTACATATAGTAGACCTTTCACAGGCTGGACCCTGCAACACACCACAACGTGCGAACAAGTCAACTACTGGTTAGGGCTTGAGGAGAGATGCCCAAGACATTTGTATCATGAGAAGATATCATAAAGTGGCAACACCTGCATTTCCTCTAGGCGTACGAGACACCCAGAAAGATATCGGTTGAACATGATCTTTTCTACTTTCTCTGTGGTACGTGCTTGAGCCGAGAAATTGTCTATCATCTAACCAAACCAATTTCCATCAGACTGGGGTAAACAATCGGAACAAGCATCCGCAAAACCGGGTCTATTGATATCAGTGATGCAGTGAGCTCGGCGGAGTATTTGGTCAAAAGACTTAGAAATAAATGACGAACCCGGCGTCCCTGTGTGCGGAAAGCACCTAGGTATTGCTAACTGGCTGGAACCTCAAGGACAAAGGGGCGGGGTGGAGGCTGGTTGATCAGCGCAGGCGCAGTTGTTCGATGTCGACACTTAATCTTGCGGTCCTGGCATGGCCTCATTATCTCACACGAGTCTGAATAGCTCGAATGAGGAGCTCACCTGGAGCTTTAGGTTATTGGGAAATATCTCATTTGTGATTTAGTCAAACTTGAATGGAAACGAACACATAATTACTACACAATATTGCCGGTCCAGTGAAGAGCACTGAAAGTGATGCCTGATGCGAATAAGTGTTTTCCATTGCAACATATGATTGGTATGAAGATCGTCATATTCCATGATCTGGGGGCGCCTCCTATCCTCGCAGACTGCCCTACGTCTTGCCAAGGTGCTCGTCGTACATACATATGGATCTAGGTATAAGTATGTAGTTGTGAATTCGGCCATCATCCACGTACCTATTGCCGGCCACTTCACCTCTCAAACATGGAAGATGTCAATATTAGCTGCGATATACGCATAGCTGTCATTGCGGAAGTCATCTGCAAGATAATTCTGCGAAGTAGCGTAAAACTGAACCAGTTGGTTTCCACTGCCGTTGTCCTTCCACTGCGGCCACTCGGGATAATCGCCATAGCCAACGTTGGGGTCAAGGCTGTGCAGGAAATTGAAGTAGTATGTTCTTGTACTCTGTGCAGCATAGTTGTCGTAAATTCCGAAAAATGTCTGTAATAAGTCGCTCGCATGAAATGTTCCCAGGTAGGGAGTGCCATAATCGTAGGAGCTAAGGTAGCTCCAGGACGGCACGTCCGGATTGACGGCGTCCGTGGTCTCCAAAAATATCCTGCGGGTCAATGTGAAAGCCAGGTCACCGAGGACCGCGGCTATTCGCTTATATTGAGGGTATAGCTCATACAGGAGTCCAGTGCGGAAAGGGGAGCCAGCTGTGACGTTCTCGGGATAAGTCTCGAGTAGGGCCCCAATCTGTGCCGGCGTAGCAGCGTTGAAGTAATAAGTCACAAGGTATTCAATCAGTTCCTCGTTTGTGGTCACGTTCGAGGTAAATAGCGCGAAAATCGTCCCTTCGTCCTCTTGATCGCCAATGATCATCGGCACGGCGGCATACTGGCCTGTTTGTGCCAGCACGTCAGGAGTGTCGGGCAGGACGGTGCCGTCTGGCCGCGGGAGGTACGACAGCGCAAGGGACTGATACCCTAGGAAGCCTGGGACAGAGTTTGCTGCGTTGAGGTAGTCCTCGTATGGAAGTTCTCGAAGACATTCCAAAGTGTCGTTAGCACCTTGACAACCTGCGGTTTCGACAACTTTGTCATAGACGACCTGCGCCTTTGGACCGTCCACAGCTTCTGTAGGGGTGATGCTCCCAGAGTCCATAATAGCGGCACGGAACAGAGGCTCGCCGTTATAGGTGTTGTTACCACCGTAAAGAGCCATCTGGTTGAAGACACTGATGGCGCCAGCAGATTCGCCCCAGATCGTTACCTTCGTTGGGTCACCACCGAAAGCTTCGATGTTGTCGGCTACCCATTCAAGCCCTAACCTTTGGTCAAGTAAACCCAGGTTGGCAGCGCCGTCGGCTAGGACCTCCTTTCCGGGTAAGAATCCGAAACCTGCCACCCTGTAATTTACTGCGACAAAGATGAAGGACTGGTTCTGACTGATGGCCTGATCCAAAAGATCCGTCCCATCATACATGGCAGACCATCCCAGCTAGCCACCAATTGTCAGTAAGCACACTTCGACTCGGTTTCATGTCTCTTGACCTACCTCGAAGGCTCCACCAAAGATCCAGAATAGAACAGGCAGGTCGGCGCCAGCCGTTACGCCAGAAGGTCGAATAACGCTGACCGTCAAGCAGTCTTCGCTGATATTTGTTGCCGTTTGGAAGAGTGGTGTGTCCAGGAAGTCACTGATGACCTGCAAATATAGGCTCTCATTCCCAGATGAGACCAGCATCTGCGGGCATGCTGCTGCTGGATTTATAGCTTCGTACGCGTCGCCGAGGTTTGTAGACAGCTTTTGAGGTGGCTTCAGTCTTTGAGACCCTGTAGGAGGGTCGGCAAAGCGAATGCCGGCGTACTTTTCGACATTGCCGCTGGCTAGACCAACGATGGTGTTGGATGGAGAAAGCACAACTGTCGGTGAACTCGCCCTATCCTTTAAGACTGGAGACGGGTCGGACCGAGCTGGCAGAGCTAGGCAAGGAACCAGCAAAGAGGCTAGCAGCAATATACAAGTTGGCTTCATCGTATCTCCTGAGTTATGTCGCTCGCAGCCGTAAGGCCAGGCTCCGAGGCAGACAAGAGCACAATTATAGCAGTTCAGCTGATGCGACGGAAGACGACCGAAGCTATATCCACGCTGGTTAGTTAGGAGTTTTTTCATATCCACCAAGCTGGTACCATAGCCCATATATATCAGCGAACGGTCCATCATTAGACCCCATTGCGCCATACAATTTTCGCAGATTACTGTTTAGGAAAGACCTTGCGCTTGCGACGCTTTTGACAGGGGTTCCATGCTTACATGCATGTTCCAATAGTTCGCATATGGAGGGTCCATTACAATGGCAGGTGACTGCCCGGCTGTGCACGGAATTGGTTCCCAGGCGGGATATCGGAATAACGCCCTCCTTTGGGGTAATTACATATGCACAGGGCGGCATCGGTGTCACATATTGAGGTGTCATCAGCGGCTTCTGCGTCCTTTACCCCGTGGGGTAGCTATTTCGATTCTGGGCTATGTGGCAATAGACTTCCAAGGTTACGCCGTTAATGCACTCTTGTATACATGATCTTATCTCGAATTCACCTGGATTTAGGCATTGCAGAAACGACACATCAAGGCCACCTGGTAGCCAAGTCTACGCTGAAGACCATTGTGTTGCAAGATCTCGGGATCATCCAAGAGACATATGTGATGAGATATACCACACCAGTGTCTTGAACTTTAGCTTAGAAGGGGAAAAGCTTAGGAATGACTGCACACCGTCACATCGCCGTATACCTCGTCGTCCCATACGTAGCCGTTTTTGCGGCTTGAATGGAAGATGGAGGGCCAACACGGAGGCGTTTGGATGACCGGCGAATAGGAGCCAGAGTAAGGCATGGTCAGATACCGTTGGCCAGAATGCTCAAATTACTTGACTCGGGGGATGAACTGGTTGCAACCAGAGCTGACATCTCAATGCCTTGAATGGACATAAGATTACCACAGTAGTGTTAGTCCGTGAGGGGAACTCCGAAATAACAGGGTTCTTATTCTTGGCCTAGCAGTCCAGTTCGGTTGTTTTGCTTGCTCTGGTCTTGGACTTCTTATAAAATACCGTAGTACTTTGAAGGTATGATGGTAGATTAGGGTCCACGACCTTTGAATGACACGTATATCAGGATTACCCAGGTATCTGAAAAGCGGTTTCTGCTTACCGATATCAAGTAGAATTGAGACAATACTGAAACTAGTAAGATTGCCTAATTATGAGGAGCGAAGTCAGAATTCTGTTACGAGGATGTCAGGATAAAAGAATAGTCACAAGCATTTATCTGCTGGACGAGTGCGTATACAAATTCAAGATTCTACAAGAAAAAAGGAACAAAAAAAAGGGAAAAAGAAAAACACCCAAGGTACAGAGCTTGGAGACTATGCACAGCGTAAAATCTTTTCCGCAGTACCAGTTGACGAGCTCCTCGTCGTTAACGGTGATAGTGGCAGTGGCAGAGGCGGAGACGGAGGCGGGGACGGTCGCAGAGACCAAACCAAGGTAGGCAGTGCCGAAGTTGCAGTCATGAGAAGAGATGTGAAAACTATTGGAACCATGATGAATCACATGCGCATCTAGGACGATGAGAGACTCGAATTATAAGCCTTTAAATGTTCTCAATGAGAGTCTCAAGATTTGAAGGAAGGGAAGAACAAGTCTAGAGGGGTATCATGTTGATTGATCCTGACACCAAAGAGCCTTGCACAGTGGTTGAAGGTACACTTTCAGGACCAGCACAAGGGTATCCTCGGGGAGCGGGGCAAACTCAAGAGCATTAAGCAAGAGGTTTAGACCGCCAAGGAGGCCACGAAGCCATTCACATGTGCCTCTACCCTGGATAGGTGAATACTAAGTACGCAGGCATTGCAGAAGACAGTTCTTAGAACCTTACTTGACTCCCTGATGGAAACAATCCTTCAACATTCAGCAATATCAACAACAGTGGCCCGGCTAGCTCAATGTCCAGGGCGTCGGACAGGGGCCTTATCGATAAGCAATGTGCTAACATAATCAACTGCTTATATAAGCCTCAGGTACCTAGGTACCCGAAGTTTCGCAACTCCACCAGGAGAAAAAAGAACAAAAAAAATGGGAACAAAAAAGGTATTTCTGAACCGAATCAGCTGATCTTTGATATACAAATATCGCCCGACGAGGGACTCGAACCCTCAGCCTTCGGATTTCATCTTATTCAAGGTAAAAGTCCGACGCTCTGACCCTAAATTCTTCTTAGTCAAACTTTTTTGCAAATTGAAAGTGATAGGAAACTTACATTGAGCTAGCCGGGCCGCTGTTGATGTTGTTGTATGTTGAGGGATTATCTGCACAGCATCCGGAAGTCACACATTTCCGAAGCGCGCTCTACCCTGAGTTTGCCGCTTGGATTACCTATGTAGGCACGTGCCTGGGTACTGTAATGATTACAGTGTAGTGTCTCAGATAGATACAGGGTTTTGAGTCAAAAGGATGTATGTCAAAGAGCAGTTTGGGATGTGGCTGTGCGACATTGTCTGTCGTAGTCACTTGTGCCCAAGGTGAGACTACACCGGCCATGTGGAGTGAAACCTAGATTGATCGCTGAAGAGCTAAGGTGTACTGACTACTGTAAAGGGAAAGTACATGTTATGTTATAGCTCTTCAGTCGTGATTATGTGGACAATGTTTCCTATCCCCGAACATATCGGCTTCTGGAATATGAGTCTATCCTAGCTAGCCTTCTTATTTAGTTACGCAAAATCTGTAAGTTGTTGTCCGATGTCTTTCCCCCCCCTGAAGACTACGTAATGATGTTAGATCTTCAAGGTCCAGTATCTGGGCTGCAGAAGAAGTTATATAGATAGATGAACGTTTGCTTGGTTGTCCTTGGAGGCCTTTGAGTGAAAGCTCTGGATAGTGTTGTCCACTTGGATCCAGGCTATTTACATATATGTAAGCGCTGTTATAGCCCTGGGAATAATCGTCCATGGAGGTCAACAGATGACGATCCCGTTGAACAGCGTAACTCAACTTTATTGTTGCAGCTGACCAGAAATGGCCTTCGTGACTTCGACTCTTCTCATGTGCAGCACAGTGAGAGCAACTGGCAACATACTGAGACAACACCTCTATTCCTGGAGAGCATGCCAAATAGATCCATAGGAGCATTCGAGGTACTCGGGGAGACCTTGCTTCATCTGGAGTGGCGAATTCCGGTCCGTCAATCCTCGGTAGTGCCGTGCTTTTACACACCCAATACATCTCAGTAAGTAAATACACCGTTAATATGCCCATATTATTCGTAGTCTTATACCCTATAAGGCAAGACACCACTACTCAATTCCCTCGTTGCATCCATACGGCCGAAAATCAATAGGATGTATACCGCGCCGCCCAAAAAGAGAAGAAGAAGAAAAGAAAAGAAAGGGAAACTTAACTTGGACGGGTATCGGTGGTGCATGTTCTTCTACGGCAGTGAAAGTGAGGTACGCTTGGGGACATATGTAACCAGATACTTCCTGGACGCCCTTCTGGCCAACAGCCCTGACGGGAAGACTGTGAAGCCATTAGAGCGGCTATGGTCCAGGAAAGATACACCGATCTGGCCGTCCGCGACGCCTGGTTTAACATATTCATATGGAAGTATAGGCCTACCCAATGCAAACGCCGTCCTCTGGACTACTGATGCTCGGGACGTTAGTGCTATGTGGAGAATATCCATGCGTACACACTGTCGTGTGTTGGTCTCTGTTACGAACCAATATCTCTAAGCCTCTACGACGACCTTCCCTCCCCTCCAAGGAAGATTGTCTGCACCCAACCTCGCCGCGTCGCTGCTATGGGGGTGGGCTCATCGCGTAGCGGATGAGCTTGACGTGGAGGTTAGATATATCTTCCGTAAACACGGGTTGTACATCATGGTCTTCTCGAGACCACAGTCCTAATACCAGAAAGTTAGCGATCCAGGGAAAGAACTATACTCTGAAGTCTACTTACCACCACGTAGACGATGCCGTCGATCGTCAGCGACGTCTCCGCAATGTTCGTCGCAACGATACACTTGCGGACGTTTTCCTCCTGATTATCGACGGGCCCGAGAGCCATGCGCTGTCGCGCCTTCGACATATTGGCATATAAAGGGAAAACCCCCAGCCGAGCAGTATCGTTGCGGAGACCAGATACCACGGCATCGACATCTTCTTGGCCTGGCATGAACACCAAGATGTCACCCGGTCCCTCTGTCGTGTGATCCGTACCACGGTCCTGATCGCGGCCACAACATAATCCACCAGAGTCCCAGGAGCAGTATCAGTCCCGAACTTAAATTTATCGTCTGCCAAGTGGTACACCTCTACCGGGTAATTCCGCCCTGGGATGTGTTGGATTGGGGCATCCTCGAAGTATTGTCGAAACTTCTCGATACCCTAGGGTAGTCGCTGACATGATAATCAGTCTCAGGTCCCGGCGCATCTTGCATACCTGTTTCAGCTCTGCCATAAGGATGTCAGTGCTGATAGTCCTCTCATGGGCTTCGTCGATGAATATGCAGCTATAATCCCGCATATCACGGTCGTTCTTCAGCTCTACTAGGAGATGTCCGTCCGTGGTGTAGCAAGGAGGGTCCGAGGACCAGTCATATCTTCATTACATACATGAATTGTGGGACTTAGGTAGTTTTGCCGCTCCCGGTGTCACCAGTAAGGATGATGATCTGGTGGTTGTGGTAAAGGTCGAGGAAATCACTGCGCGTTGCCGCGCCGGGTAAACCGCGGACTGTCGCGCGTTTGGCAAAGATGTGGCGGAGGTGGAAGGGAAGCGGGTTCAAGTCAATCGGACCTGGAAGGAAGGGGATAAATGGAGACCAAGGCCCCTGGACTGGGCTGACGAGGTTGCCTCTGATGACGAGGCTACCTCAACATTCCACGGCTTCATCCAAAAGCAAAACCGCCCCAGCCGCATCGGGCTCGGCCACCTTGGTTTCGACTACATCTACCCTCGCTCTTGGGATGGCCAGATGTACACCGCCGACGACCTCCCTGATCGAGAATGGAACGAGTCGCGTAGCGATCCTATGGTTTTCACATCGACTAGTGGGGATGTCACCACTGTTGACACTCAACTCTCGCGTGACAACCCTGCACTCGACAAGGAGATGACGACTTCGAAGCCCCTTCGCAAGATACTTGAGGAGAATAGTCAGAAGAACGCCGGGCGAAGGGCCTAGCAAGCTCGCGGCTCTGCAAACAGGGGGACAGCGCGGAGGTCGTGGTCAAGGAGCTTTTAGGCCACATGGCTGGGGCAACACCGACTGGAAATAACATTCCTCTAGCTTCTTGAGGGTTTCATCTTCCTGGTCTATATGTATCTTGGTGATGGAAAAGGAGAAGGTTCGGCTTCGGCCGCGTCTTTCAGTGGTATGGGGAGGGCTTCGGCCGCGCTGTTGGTGAGGAGGGGGGGGGGTTTCGGTGGCGTCTGTTGTGGGGGGAGCCATTTCCGTGACAGAGACCATTTCGCCCGACGCAGTCAATGTATCCGCTCCTTGATTTTATCCTGTTCTCCGAGTTTCAACTGAACCCATTCGAAGTACAAGTGTTCTGCTGAACATACGGGATTATTTACACTATGGAAGACTATAGAGGTTGGCTTTACAAAGATAAAATCCTATGTAAAAGTATCGTGATCCACGTGGTGCAGCGCAGAAGGGTGCAATTACTGTAGATTAGATAGGGAGATTAGATAGGCATTCTGCCAGGCGGTGTGGCCTAGAGTATCTTAAGGCCACCCTACTAGGCCTGCCTTCCGTAGCTTCCTTTCTAGAAGATACACTAGAATGAATACAGAACAATACCCCCCCCCCCCCCAATTGCTTTTACTACTATGGTAAGTTCATCGTGGATTCACTATAGGTTCACTAGGTGAATTCCTACTTAATTCACTATACTTTCACTATACTTTCACTATGAACCCGCCGTACCTCCATACTGCTACCTGAATCTATCCGGTGTGCATTAATAGGTAAGGATGCATGCATGCCAGCGTTTTGTAATTAGGTAGTCTACCTAGGTAGGTAATAATTTAAGTATTATCTAGTGATTATATGACCGTCTATAAAGAAGTGGGGCCCAATCCTACTTGAATGTTTCATGTACCTCACGGCCGTTGAATGGGCCCGTATAGCAGGCAGCTTAGATGCCCAGGTGCCTACTAAGTATCATCCAGAACCTTGGAAAGTCAATTGAAGCGTAGACCAACACGAACCACGGTCAAATACCAGCATTTCTCACGTCGGGAATCCGTTTCTTCCATACTTACACATTAGCAAATTGCTCCAGCCTGCCAACGTTTAGCCCGCCAAGATACGAACCTCGAGACAGAAGCCCATGCTTAGGTACTCCTAGTCCAGCCCCACCATGCAGATCGATGGACCTCATACCGAGGAGGAAGCAGCCCGCTTCCAGGCGGCATTGGAGCGCAACACTACGCTTGTTGAGGTTCTCCGTCGAGCTGCCACAATGAACCTCCCCGACTGGTACCTCGCCGCTGGAGCTCTCACGCAGTCCGTCTGGAACTACGTAACAAACCAGGACCCGGAGAACGGCATCGACGATTATGACCTCATCTATTGCGACAACTCCGACTTGTCTTGGGAGGCTGAAGACGCCGTCATCAAGGTTGGCGCCAAAGTTTTCGAAGGCCTGTCCACGAGGGTCGAGATCAGGAACCAGGCTCGGGTGCATCTGTGGTATCAGCAAAAGTTCGGCATTCCGTGCCCACAGCACACATCCACCGAGGGTGCGATGTCGACATGGCTGTCTGGGACCGCCTTGTTTGGGGTGAGGCTCCTACCCAATAACGACTGGAAGGTATTCGCGCCGTGGGGCTTCACCGATATCCTCAACCTGACTGTGCGGCCCAACCCAGTGAGTGGTGATCGGGCTGTATACGAGCAGAAGGCTGCGAGGTGGAGGGAGTTCTGGCCAGGATTGAATATCATACCGTGGCCATACGACACGCCTGGGACGCCAGATAACGAACGTGCATTCCTGTGAAGGATGCTGATTATCATAAAGACCCCAGGGATCTTCGGTCGGAGGGAGACTACTTGTGGTGTGTATGTAACCAAGATGGAGCCTTAGCAATGGCTACATGGTGATTTGACGAACAGAAGATACCTACACAAGTGAATACGACCTAGCTCGTGACGTTACCCATAACGAAGCGTCACGGATGTTTTCTGGTGAAGATACTATGGGAGGTTGTCATCTTGCCATCAGTGCATTGGTACGTTAATTACCTCAGTCACCTAATTACA